ACGTCAGCACAGGTGACCGTTCAGCTTCCAACTGTCAACGGTTTGTCGGTTCCCTGTATGGAGCTGCCAGCCACGCATGACTGATAGAAGGAGGTTGAGTGCGAGCAGTGGTTACGGCAGGACTCATTGAGCTGGCAGGTGCCAACGTGAAAAGCTACCAGGTGCTCAGGGTTTAGGGTTTAGGGGACGTGGGGGAATGCCTGCAACCGCCAATAACCGCTGTTCAGTCGTAACAGGCTTCATGGAGTTCCAAGTTCGCTGCTGGCCCTGGCTGCGCAGCCACAGCGGGCTGGGCGCGGCCGGCAGCGGCGGCTCGCTCCACAGAACAGACTGCGTTGCTTTCAAGGCATCTCGCATGACTGTGATCACTCATGATCAAAGGGTCAATAGAGCTGGCAGATTCCCCCCAGCGTGTTGCTGGCAGGTGGCAAGTTAGTGCCACCAACAGCAAGTCGCTGAGGTTTGCATGGCTTGAACCAGCAGGGTGTCACACGTATGGTGTGACTAGTGGCACCTGGTGATGTGGGTCTGAACCTGTGACGTCAGAATGCCTCGCTTTAAGGGGGTGAGCCCGCCAACCCTGTCTTGCCCAACTGCCCTGATATATGTAGTGTTTGCTCATGGAAGTTGAGAAAGATTTGGCCGGCTTGCAAGGGCCGCCCTTGCTGGCTGAGGCCGCCGCGCTGCCCCGGCACCTGCACAACTGCAGCTGTCCCCTTGCCTGCTTGATTGCCCTGGATACGCCGACCTGCAGGCTGAGCCGTGCTTTTCGCCCTTGTTTGCAAATCTGCCCGCACTTGCTCGCATGCGCGCCTTTGTGCGCGGTGCAGACCAGCACGCACTTGGGCCCTTCGTGCACGCCTGCATTGAACGGCGCACAGTAGCCACCTGAATCTCAGTCACACAACGCTGATGCCTTCAAGCCAAAACCCATGAGCATGAGTGGCTGCAGAAGCGGGCGACCATGAGACGATGTAGCAATCCTAGTTTCTCATCCTAATCCTTGCCATTCAAGGCAGGATTCCAAACTGCGGTGTGACACTGCGAGGTGATAAGGCAGTGGCCAGCACTTGTGCAGCCTCCCAGCTGCTCCTGTTGGATGCCGGCTTCTACATACCAACGCCGCATCAAAGACCACGCACTCCGTCGAAACATATTGTTTCCACGATTACTCTCGCGTTCAAACTCCATTCTCAGGCACGGTTGAAGCCAGGGGGGGCAGCTGCCCAAACACCGCGTGGTGGCTGGTATTGACCGGCATAGTCCAGATGGCACGAAACCCCGCATCAACCAGCGCCCCCTCCATCTCAAGGGAGTAGAACTCATCTGACCACGGCTCTGCATGCGTACCGGGAGGAGGGTTCAGGTTTGTGGCGGTTGTGAATATGACATTTCAAATCAAGGCCTGTTATGAAACTGCCGTGTGTGTGTTGTGCACAACATGCTGCGCGCACTCTGCCCAAGTCCCATGGGCTGCGCTTGAAACAGAGCACGCTACCAAGGAGGTTTGGCTTCCCCTGGGTGCTACGTGCGACGAGGGATGTCTCAGGCTTGTGTCAACCCCCAAATACGTACCAGCCCCGATAAGGGCGTTTCCGTTGCCAAACGCGGGCCGCTAGCGGCACGCGGGCCGCTAGCTGCCCGCGTGAGCGCTCACGCACCGGAGCGCTTACGCACCTGAGCTCTTCATGAGTGTGAACATCGCGGGGGGCATGGACTGCAGCCTTGGGCTGCGCGGGTTGTTGTCCACCACGCACACCACACCTCCCGGTCGCAGCACACGGCGCGCCTCTGCCAGGAACGCACGGGTGGCGGACTGCGGGACGCGCGTGTTGGGGGTGAGAGGCACGCCCAGGGGTGCTTTAATGGGCAAATAAAGGAGTTGGGAGGCTGAGCGCATTGGGGACAACTCAAATCAGATGGTACTGGATGGATGGGAGGCGCAGAGGTGATGAGCATTACTGCGCTTCTGCCAAAGTTGAGGTGTGTATGTGCTGATGAATCAAACAGCAAAAAGCCACAACACTGGATGATTTATTTGATTGCTGCACAATCCTGCCACATCTCTTCCTTTCCTAGCAACCAAGGCAGCACAGCAGCACTCCGGTGCAGGCGGAGGCCTCAAGACCCACGTCGTATTTTCTGCTGCCCACCTACCTGGGGGCACTCGTGGGCAATGTACTGCAGGGCCACCAGGTCAAAAGATCCCGCGGGGTAGGGCGCCGCCTCTGCCAGCCCATGGTCAAAGCATATTCGGCGGCAGTCCGGCAGGGGGTTGCGCCTTCGGGCAAGGCGTGGGCAGACGGGGGTGGGCAAGTGGCTGGGTGACTGAGGAGCTTGACGCAAAGGAAGCGGCAGAAATTGGCCAGTATCCCACAGCTGGCGACAACACGAGGAACTGCAAGGTAGGAGCGGGCGGGAATAATAATGACCGCCAACAATCTGCTGCGCGCCAAGATCATGGAACGCACGCTTCATAACGCAAAATTCATAGTCATGCTGCGCAAGCACTTGGGTCTGAATAAACCCCAGCCGCAGCAAATCCTGTGGCCAAGCAAAGCTCAGAGCCTCTGTGCCCCGACACGTGCCCACCGCTGCTCGAGCTCGGCCACAGCCAGGAAGTACGGCGACGCGTCCAGCCCCGTCATGCGCGCCCTCGGAAACTCCCGCGCCAGCCAACGCGTCCCAATGCCCGTGCTGCACCCGACATCGACGACGTCCTCCGGGTCGCGCAGCCCGCGACGCTGCAGGTACTGGCGGATGGTCGCAGTGATGGTGGTGCGGAAGCGCAGGACCGCGGCGTCTGCGCTGTCGAGGTCCCTGAAGACACGGCAAGCGATAACCGCAGACGCGGCGCTCATCTCTGCGGCCGCGAGCCAGTTGAGGTTGCCATCCTGGTAGCTGCGGGTTTGGTGGTAGGTGGCAGGTTTGCAGCAGTGTTGGGGAAGAGACTGACAGTTTTGCTAGACAAGTGGTGGGTCTGAAATGATGGAGCTGCTTCACAGCGGTGTTCAGCTTCCTTGCACTTCTCAATTGTATCAGCGGGCAGCAGGTGAGCTAGGGACCGCGATCATCGTGTTAGCATCAGTGCATGTGCTTGCTACAACCCCTGTCGCCGCTGCTGCTCGACAGCGCCCATTCCATCTACCCTCGCTTGGAACTGTTCGGTTTGCATGACCCCGCACCTGTGCATGGGCACAATGTAGTAATCAGGGTAAATGAACTCCGGTTGCTCGATCGCGGCCTTGATCTTGGGCAGCTGCCAGGTGAGAGATAGAGACCAGCAGGGTTCAAGGGTTCACTGGGCATGCATAGTGGGAGCTGCTTTGACTGCACCGTGTTTTGTCTGGGTAGTGCTGCTGTAAAGCGCGTGGAAAATGTGAATGTGCCGGCGCCCCAGGACAGGGACACCTTTCCGTCGGTGCGCAGGGGGGCGCCAGGCATGTCGATGCAGCGTTCTGGGCACACATTGCTTATACAGCATTTTGAGAATCCTCCCTACTTCCTGCTGGGGTTGAAAACCCATCTTCATCCATATTCAATACACCCCCCACACCCCTGTGGCAAGGAAGGATCTCCTCGGACGCATACGTGCGCACCTCAGGATCTGACAGGATCTTCTGTGTCTCTGCATCCCAATCAACTCCGCGCTGTGCAGCAGTCTGCTTCATCGCAACGCGTGCGAAGAAGCGCATGGGCACGTAGAGCGGGGAGCGAATGAGCGCGTTGACCAGTCGGGACACCACCTCCTCGCCTGGTGTGAGTGGTTGCGTTTGGTTACTGCAACGGTGAACATGAAGGATGTTGCTGTTGACGCGCGGTTGGGTGGTGGTTGCGCAGGCACCAGGAAGCCACCCTTGCGAGGGCAGGTCCCGACGCGTCTTGGCATTGACAGAGGTGGGATGGACCGCAGCAAGTGCACTACTCGAAAATCGTCACTTTCACCTGTCCAGGTTGGCTGGCTTTTGACTACAGTCGACGTGGCGCGCGCCGCAACAAGCCGGGGTGATGTTTCCTGAGTCATGCGGGCGCAGGGACGGCCTGCTGTGGGGCCTGCCCAGCGCCTTGTTGCGGTGACATTCGCTCTCAAGAGCAGCATTTTGCACGGCTATATATCGTATACGCAGGCTGGCTGAGCGAGAGCGCCAGGAGTGTTCCCCGTTGTCGAAAATCTGTTCGGAACGACGCGGGGGGTTGCAAACCAGAAATGACGCAAAAGATCGTGAAATAAGGATATCAATTGCCTAGCTTGTGGAGACAGCGAGTCCGCGAGCGGATGTCCCTTGGACTGCTCATGCCCTGCGTGCTGTCGTGCCGCACTGTCGCGCCACCGCGGTTGTGAGAACAGAGATCCCGCATGAGTGGGCACAAAACCGTGTTCAATTCACATGTTGGAAGGTATTCATGCCATTGATATGAAATTGCTGTATGGCACCGCCATTGGGCCAGTGTCTGGTCATCTGGGTGTCGCTGCAGGCGAGACAGCCGGCCACGTGGAAGGGCCTTTCAACAACCTCATGGATTTTGACAGCAGTGAACTCTGGCCGTCAAGCAAGCTTCAGCAACCTCCAAGGTTGTGGCACCAATAGCCGCAGCATGAAGATCCCTGAAAACCGTTCGCCTTCTCCCTGTTAAAGGTTCGTCAAAATGTTGCATCCTCGAGTAAGTCCCTGCTAGCAAATCTGCCATCTAGTGAGTTCAACGTTGCCCAGTGTTGCTTTCACTGTGTTGGGACACTGTTCCTGATGGCATGTGTGTGCGAGGGTGCGCGTGCGCGTGCGTGCGTGTGTGCGTGTGCCTGTCAAGTACACCAGGTCCAAGGGCTCGCCATCGAAGGACAATAGCGAACAAATTGTTATGTGGTGCTTTGAATTGATCAACACAAGTCATCAACACAAGTCATTCGAGTTAAAGAACTGGTGCATCATTGACCACTCTGAAACGACTCAGCCCCAATATGGTGGATCAGGCTTACTCAACAATGCCAAGTGGCAACGTTCCAGGATGACAGCCACAAACCAAGCAAAACTGTGGATTGCAGCGCCGCTGTGGCGCCAGCACCCACTGCCTTTCTGCTTTGTTCAAGCCTACTGGTCCTTGGCCCAGTCCTCCAGCAGACGCACCAGGTCGCTCACACAGCCATTTGGCATCACATCGTACAGCGACAGCTGCGGACGGTGGGTGGGGGTGGAGGGGGGAGCAGGGACAGGGGGTGTTGCTTGGAACAAGCTTGGGTAGGACGGTCAACGACATGTTTCCCAAACTCGGCACGGGCGACACAGGCTGGGCACCCAGCCCAGACCTGGATTCACCCTGACGGCAAGCCACACGATTGGCTGATGGGTGCCGGTGGCGGGCTGACAGTGGGTGGGCCACCACCGAAGTTTCCCTGGCCTGGCCTCGCTCCAGAGCCAACGGCTTGTACAGCCGTACACAACGCGATCCCCCGCTGCCCTGCACGACACCCCCTCACCGTAACGCGGCCGCCGCCCACGTCAACCGGGATCCGTTTCAAAACCGCGCTGACATCACTCTCGCGCAGCCCCCCGCGCCCAGCGCCAGCGGCGGTGGGCCCGAGCTGCGCCGCCAGCGCCGCCGCCATCTTGAGGCCGGGCACTGCGCTCATGTCGCGCAGGAAGAGGTGCCACCCCGCGATGTCGACGTACACGTCGCGGCCTGAGGGTGGGTTGCATCGAAGAGGGGACAGAGGTGGAGCGGAGGATGGCGTGACGGACGGGGGCACGGCAACGTCGCATGCAGCGTCTCGCGCCCTGCAAGAAGCCTGTCAGCGCTGGCACACGCGCCAGGTGTTGGGGACATCGGCGCTCTGCTCAGCCGCGTGGTGCAGCATCAGCAGCAGCAGCAGATGAGAGGCACCCTCTGCTGGAATCAGGCATCACCCAACTGCTACCCTGACAGACCGTCGAGCTTGCTGTTTACACTGCACACTTGCGAGCAGGGCGGCGTGCTTTTTCATTGAGGAGGCGTGCCCATGCTGTGTCAAGGCCTGCCTGCAGAGCCCATCGCCGAAGGCACATGCTGCTGGCCCGACCTGCTTACGGGCGCGAGCAGGTTCGTGGGCATGCAGCGGGGCGCACCCCCCCCCCCCCCCGCCAGGCACCACTGCCCCAGCCGCGCACCGATCTTGTACGCGAGGTCGTCGTATGGACCCTTTTTGCTGCCCTCGGAGGCCACGAGCTTGGCCAAGTCCAACCATGCCCCCGCCACTGGTGCGGGGCAGGCAGGAGTTTCTTGAAGGGGCAGTTTCATGTGCGGCATGCGCCGCCAGCAGCAGAGCACTGACAGCACGAGCCTGCCGCGGGCGGGACACCAACGGCCAGCGGCAAGCAACAATGTGAGCAACGCACCATCCTTGCCGATGCTACGGGTCCTGAAGTAATGTGACCGTGGAGTAGGCGCCAAACGCGAGCCTGCGTGAAGAAATGCCCGTCGGGATCATTGATCTGCAGTTCGAGACCTCGGTTGCCCGCGTCATGCTGCGTCCACCAGCCGTAACATGCACACCCTGCAGGCAGACCCGTGGTTGCGTGCTGAACACCCGCTGCTGCTGGAGCGACTGCATCCTGGGATCTGACGCTGCGCAGAGAGCAGTGCGTTCTCAATGGGGGGGTGCGACAATTGTGTGTATGATATGCTGTTTTTGGGGTTCCAAATAAAGAAGTTCAAGGACTGTGTGGGATATGCATATTTGTTGTTGAGAACCTACGGTAGTGAAGACAGGATTATGCGAGGGTCTACCTGCTGACCGACCATACAGCTGCTGCTGGCTTGCTGCAACACCCTCACGGACATGTTGACGTTGACACGGACATGACTTTGCGGCGCAGTGTAAGGGTTTAATGTCGTAGTTGAGCGCGGCCGCCTGCTCAGTGGCCAACCTGGCCTTCTGTGCACAGTCTCCTGCGCCTTTGCAAGCTTTACTCCGTGGTGTGCTGCACCCTTGCGACGTCAGGCAGCCACCACAGTCAGCGCGCTGCAATTGAGCGACAGAGGACAGGCCTATGGATGGCGCCTTACAGGTCTACGGAGACTTACAGGTCTATGGGTGGAGATGAGGTTATGGTGAGTTGTGATGCTGTGCGTGGGCAGGGCACAGGTCGTGCGTGGAAGCATCAGAGATGGGGGCAGAATGGGGTCGCGGAGTGGGGTAAACAAGAGGTAGAGCCTGTGGTAAAAGCGCGCTGAAATTGCTGACTGCAGGCGGCGTGAGAGAAGAACAAAAAAAACAAAGGAGTGAGACCAAAAAGACAAAGGGATGGGTGCCTGCTTGCAACGATGATTGGCGCCACGCGCCGCCCACAGCGATGCAGAAATCGTGGGGGGTTCGGCACTGCCACTGATTCCACAGACGAGGCAGGAGGATGGGTCCGCAACAGCAGCCTGCAGCGGTGGCTCATCCTTGGCGTCACGCGACGCCAGCAGATGCCACGGGCGTGACTGGTGCTGCACTCGCAGCCTCGGCTCGGGTTAGGGCAGCCGGTTAAATCTCTATTTTGCACGGGCAAAACCAGGCTAAAACCCTCTTCGGCATGTACAGTTGAATGTGCTGCTGCTGCTGCGTTACCTCACGCCATGCCGTGCCGCTCCACGTACCCTGTGATCTGGTCGCTGACGGCCCACACGATGGCCTGGCCTGGCGGGATGCGCATGAGCCGCGGCAGCAGGCCCTTGTAGAGGGCGCGTATCCCCTCTTCCCGCGGGATCTTGACCAGCGCGTCCAGCAGGCCGCTGTACCTGAGGCTGCCGCCCTCCTTGCCCTGGGCCATGAGCCGCGTTTTGATCACGTCAAAGGGGCCTGGGTGGGTTGGGAGGTGGGCAGGGGGCACAGGGGAGCATGCAGATGAACTCAGAAGGATCGGCAAAAAAGTGATGTGTCCATTTGACTGGCACGCCGCCGCACGTGCTGGCTGCCACGAACCTGTCCCAAAGCACTGAGTAGCCGTCCCTGCATACTGAGCTTTGCCTTGCCACCCCATTGCAAGCCCCACCTGTGGCCACAGGCCCGAGGCATGCCGCGCTGAACCCGCTGGCCATCGACTGCAATGGCGTGAGCATCTTGCCGTCCCCCTCATGCTTGTCCCACAGCAGACTGTCCATGTGGTTCTTGGCCCAGAACAGGCACAGCTGGGGGTGAGGGGTGCAGGTGGGGGGTGACGTAAGATGGGGTACTCAGAAAAACACCTACACATGCAGTGTTGGTTCAATAGCCAGCAGTCTGAGGATGAAATTGGGGCCCGGCAATTTCAACCCTATCGTAGGAACAATCCCACTGTGGGGGCACTTGGTGTTGGCCACGTGCCTGGTTGGTGCCGTTGCGGACCATCGTGGGAGTCGCCCCGCTCCACAACCCGAACGGCCCCTCTTCCCGGATGATGGTGGCCGCACAGTGGATGGGGTTCTGGGTGAGACAAGGGATAAGGCGCCGCAGTGGCGTTGGTCAAGACGAGGGGACCCGGATGAGGCGTGTTGGGGCAGCTTTTCCCGGGGAAAGCGACAATCTTGACCTCCCTGGCTGGATGAAGATAAGAAGCGGCCAGTGCAAGTCAACACCAAAGCGACCTGCAGCTGTCACAAACTCGCAGCGGGAGGCGCCCCGTCCGCTTCAAGCACCCCCGCCCCAGCCGACCTTGTACTTGAGCCCCGTCTTTTCGCAGCCCTTTTGCTGCTGCAGCCTGATCTTGACCACCTCAAAGGGCGTCACGATCAGCAGCGCCTCGGTGATGCCCGCCATGAAACCCGCACCCGCGCGCCGCAGGTCTGTCAGCTTCCCGTCCTTGTCACGCAGGAGGCTCTGTCAGGGGGTGGGGTCGGACGTTATCAGGGGGGTGCAGGCATCAATGCAGCAGTTGCCTTGACCGACGCACACACGTCCTCCGCCGCTGCTTGTGTTTCATAGCTTCTGCGGTCGTGGTGCAGCCCGGCGCCGCTGACCGCCAATCGACTTGATGCTGTAGGGGCAGCCTGCATGCTGCTGGCCGCTGCCCGATGACCTCGAAGACCCCGACCAAGGTGTGCACGCAGGCCCCCCCCCCTTTCACACTGCAGCCGCCTCCGCTGAACCGTCAGCCAGCCCACCTGGTACACCGAGTTGCTGCCCATACGCAGGGCGTACTTGAGGGTCAGGTGCGTGGCAAAGGGCGTGAGCCCCTTCCAAAGCGCACGCACCCCCTCCTCAGCGATGACGGTGCGGCCGCAGTGCACGATGCCTACGCACAGGCCAGGCAAATGTTGGGACATCTTGACAAGATGCCTGTGCCGCTTCACAATATGTTGCAAGCCACGAGGCCTGTCTGAGCAATCGATTTTATTAATGCCACAGGCTGTTCCTGCCCCACCAACCCACTCGTCTGGCCCCCTGCTGCAGCCAGACCCATGGCGCCCCATCGGCTGGCGCACCGATGCTCATGCCGCGCACACCACAGCTTCAGGCTTCTGCCCTTGCCCTGCCCAACCAGCCTCCGGCAAGCTCTATGCCCCAGCCGCTTACCGTGGTATTTGCCGACTTTGTCCAGCTGCAGCCGCGTCTTGATCACGTCAATTGGCTGCAGGCAGCACGCCTCCACCACCCCTCCCATTGAACCTGAGCGCAGTTTCCAACGGTTCAAGTCAGCAATTATTAACGCCACGCGTGGACGGCCGCCTCGGGTGAGCGAGCACATGGGCGGCGCCAGGCGGCGGCGCCGCCGCCCGGGGTGGCCGGCCGCGAACAAGCTCCTAGCCATCAGCATAACCTTTCAATGCTCCCTGTTATCGCCTTAGTGAGGCGAGTGCGCAGCGCGGAGGTCCAGCGCGTAAAAACGTGCCTGCGAAGCCCTTCACGAACGGGCTGACAGTGTGCAGCTTGGGCGGCTCTTCTCTTCCCGCCATAGCTGCAGGTGCCGTTTCTAAGGCCGCCTGCAGGCCCGCCGATGCACTCGGACAGTACTGGTATGATACAGATCGACACTTTCGTGCGAGTGAGGGGTTTATATCAGGGTGAGGAGTGACTGTTGAATAATTGCTCGGCCATTTGACATATTACGACCGACCCATTGGTCAGACGCTCGCCGGAAGCATAGTTCAAGGTCGAATGCAGTCCGCTGTGCGGGGGGGCAGCGCGGGCGCCCTGCTGCGGACGAGCTCGAAGGTGTACAGAAGCCAGGCAACTGTGTTTCGATCACACAAGATGACGTCTGGCGGTGCGCTTGTTGTTGCTGTGCAGCAGTGCAGTTCCAGCTGACGCGCCGCGCTGCCTGTGCTAGCGAAATCAAGACGGGTGGCATTACGGCCAGCCGCGCTCATGCTAGCACTTGCAGTGGCGCTAGCAGTGGGCATGGCATATGCAATTGCAGTGCTGCTGCCACGCGACGCCCTGACGGTCTCCCACCCAGCACACTGTCACCCCCGAACCCTTCACGCGGGGCGCGTCCCTGCAGTGCCTCGCGGCAGTAGTCCTGGCCTCCGCAACGTGAGCGCCGACGCAGCCAGCAGCAGCGGCGGCAACGTGGATTCACCCACGCCGCGGCCGCTGCCGGACTTGAGCCGCGTGCGCGGCGTGCTGTTTGACATTGATGGGACCCTGACAGACTCGGACCCCCTCCACTTCCTGGCGTGAGCATCCGCGGCCCTTTTCAAAAGGAGGGCCGTTCAATTCGGGCGCAGGATTGCGTGCAGCTCACGACATGCAGCTGCCTGTTTTCAACTCAGGGGGCTTCCGCAGGGCCTTGTGGTGAGGGGAGGCGATGACGTGATCCTGGTTGTCTCTGTTGTGCCCCATGTTGGCACTGGTGTGCCCCATGTTGACAAGGCCATTCTCATGCAACCCATGCCCCCTTGTCTCCTTGGCCCCTGCAGCTTCCAAGAGATCCTGTCAGAGGTCGGCTTTGACGGCGGCCGCCCCATTGATGAGGCGTTTTTCAGGGCCCGCATCAGCGGACGGTGGGTGGATGGCAGCCGTGCTGCGGCCAAGGGAGGAGAGGCGCAGCCACACACGGGAGGGGAAGGGGGGGCGGCAGCGGGGTGGGAGCGCCCACTGGCCAGAGGGGGCACTTTTCGGGCCCCAACATCACCGAACACGTGCGCGTCTGCGCCGAGTGGAGCACAGTAACATCTGTGCCATAATGCTGTCCTTCACTTGGCAATCCCGTGTCTTGACAGCCACAACCCGGAGATAGCTGCCGACCTGTTCCCGGCCTGGAGTGTGGAGCAGCACATGGTGTTTTACACAGACAAGGAGCAGCGCTTCAGGGACCTGGCGGGTGCGTTTGGACCATTGCGTTGCACGCACATTCTCCGCCAGGGGTCATGACCCCGGCAGGGGGAGTGTGGGAGCAGCGCAGGGGTGCGCTGCGGCAAAAAAACAGGGGGGTGCCTTCACTTATTTGCAGCTGCTTGCTCCTACGGCTGCAGCAACGGGCCGCAACCAAGAACAACGTCCGCGACCCGCTGCCTGCACGCGCTTCACCCAATTCAAGGCTCGCAGCTTCAGCGGACCCCGGGGCTGACAGAGTGGATCGACTGGCTGCGCAGACGCGGCGTGCGCATGGCGGCGGTGACCAACGCGCCGCGCGCCAACACGGAGCTCATGCTGGCTGCTCTTGGGCTGGACAAGGAGTTTGAGGTGGGAGGGGCCAATGTTGGCCGGTGGGGTGGACAGATGGGTGGCAGCAGCCAGAGGCACCTAGATCCACTACTCCATCTCCTACTGTACATCCTTGCAAGCCACACACATCCTCAGGTTGAAGCAATTTGCCACTGGCAAACACCCAACAGCCGACTGTGTGGACAAATCATTCGCCGCCGTCTGCAGACGAACAGATATCCACACCCGACCAGACACTCACATATACACACACTCTCTTGCCAAATCTTGCAACCCACCCAACATCCAACTGAACCACCAACTCACCCAAAACACAACAGGTCATTGTCCTGGGTGAGGAGTGCGCTCGCGCGAAGCCCCACCCAGACCCCTACCTTCGCGCCATGGAGCTCATAGGGGTGGCGCCCGAGGAGTCTCTTGTGATCGAGGACTCACCCGCAGGTGATTCTTGAGAAATTCAATCTTGTACATGTCCTCGGTCTTGGGACAAGGTTTGCGGTGAAGGCACAAATGCAGGGTGCGGATTCCACCGTCGCCACAAACACCTGCACCCTCGTGCATGTTGCTGGTGTCAACGATGCTGCTATTGATCTCACATGACATCAAATTTGCACTGTCTCCCATACCGCAGGCCTCCGGGCCGCCGTGGCTGCGGGCGTGGCGGCAGTGGGCATCACAACTGGTCAGCCACGGGACGTGCTGCTGGCAGCAGGGGCCTGCCTGCTGGTGGACGATTTCCACCAGCTGCTACAGGTGGCCTTGGCAGACGCCAGCAGCAAGGAGGAGGGCGCGGCGGTGGAACCCCTCGAGGTGCGCTCTTGAGCGGCGCATGTGCGGCACATCACGTAAGAATTTCAAATCTGCCCACCCAAGCTGCGTGCGCTGGCCGGCCATGTATCGATGAACCCGCTTGACACCGATTTTTTATTCAAGCTTTTTTTATACACCCGTGATACGCAGCAGCCGGCTTTGGACCCCGCCTCCAGCAGCGCAGTCCAGGTCGCACCATTGTACGACCGCGGATCTGGCGTGTAGAAACACGCGAGGGCTAGCAGCCGTGCGTAAAGTAAAACGTATATATTGTGTTTGGATTACACTCTGAGGGCTCTTGTGTTCTGAATCTTGGCGCGGCGGTGGCGGCGCTTTTGGCGCTTGGGCCCGCACTCCTGGCCTCCGGCTCGTCTACGACAGCATGGCGCTGCGCATGCAGCGGCCAACCTAGGCTGCCCCTGGTTGGCGCCGTGGCGCCTGTTCAAGCAGAGTGCGGTGGTCCGTCTGCGGAAGAGGGTTGAGCAGTACGGGGCGGCAAGGAGCCAGCTCGCAGCATGGAGCAGCAGGCACAGCAGCAATCCGAGGGAGGCGTGCCCAACATCCTGCATGCCGTCAGCACTTCGGTTGGCAACGGCGGCGGCAGCAGTTTTGTGGCAGGCAGCGAGGGTGAGTCGTTTGCCGCAGCCGAGCCATCGCCACCGGCAGCTGAGCCGTCGCAGCCGAAGGCGCCACGGGGGCGCCGCCTCAGCCTAGTTGACGCTTCCAACGGTGGGTGCGCGTTGTCATGACGTGGTTTGACGTGGGCATATACAAGGGGCGCATGTGGTCTCTTCAAGGGCCCTGTCCCCATCCAGTTGCAAGCACCGCACCTCTCCATGCGCGCCCGCAATCCTGATTCACGCGCACATGCGATATCAGGCAGCATCCCCAAACCCGCCATACACCACCCAGGCGTCCTGGCGAGCCGGCAGCGGCTCTCCCTGATGTTGGAGGGCGCCGAGGCGGAAGCCGCTGTGGTCATGGGCGTTGACCACTCCCTGCAGCCTGCATTCGCACAGCCTTCCTCTGGACGCCAGAGGCGGCGCTCAGTCGACGGGGAAAACTGCAGCCGGTTCTCGACAGACGGGTCTCATAGAGGATCTGCTGGCGGGTCTGCTGGCGGACGCAAGCATCCAAGCGATGGCGGCTTCAGCACCGATAGGGTTGGGAGCGGCGGCAACGGCGGTCGGGGCGACAGCAGCAGGCGTCACACGAGCGAGCGGGGGATGCGGCGATCAGCAGAAGTGACTGTACCAGTGGAGGGAACACGGATGTCACCTCTGCTGCATGAGTCTGGGGGACCTGGGCTGCATCAGCTGCACATTGCCCTCGGCTCGACAGGCGGAGACAGCAAGGAAGGACTGGCAGGCGTCAAGCAGGGGGGTGGGGAGGGGTCAGAGGACGACGAGGATTGGGACGAGGAGGAGCATGGCGTGGAGGCCGGTGACAGGCCCGGTGCGGTCATGGCCACTGAAGCTACACGTGATGGAGGAGGGCCAGGTGGGCAGGCTTGGCGGTCGTGATCGATGGACACATGTGCTGCGCTGGACCGGGGCGGTGTGGAAAGGCCACTGCTGATGCCTTGGTGTGGCATCTTGCAGCTATGAATAAGAGAATCTCGGCACAGCGTTCCTGTCGATGCTTATCGTCCAGCTCCACGTCACAAATTGCTTGATGTCGTGCGCGCGCGCGCGTGCGCGCACACACACACACACACACACACACACACACACACACACACACACACACACACACACGCACGAACGCGCATACACACTCACTCACATGCACCGACACTCACTCTTGCGCTTGAACACAGGCCACTCCCACAGCCATGCAGCCTCCAGCACCTCAGCCGGGCGTGCCCCGCCCGCCCGGGCCGCCCTCCCGGCACGCGAGGCAGCAGCGGCCGCATGGCGGCGGCGCAGGCTGCGGCTGCTGTGGGCGCTGGATCACCCCGTGACTACGTGGTTGCTGATCTTTGCCAGCCTGTTTGTGATCATCCAGGAGGACTTCAAGTACGCGGCGCTGCCGCCCATGGCCGACATCGGCATGGAGGGGGTGACACTGGCGCTGCTGTGCGCCTTTGTGGTCGAGATCGGTGAGCCGTGGCCGGGGGCAAAAGCGCCAGCGCACAAGACGTTTGGAGGATGAGAGGTGTGCGGGCGGCGGTGCAGTGTAGTGCCAGTACGGTGACCGTGGTGAGCAAAACAACTGTCCAGCCCAACCCCTACCCGTTTGTCTCACTGGCCAAGACCCCTGTTGCGTATTTGCTGTCCTGCCCCCTTGCGGAGCGCTGACAACAAAAAAGCCAACCACAGTTGAACTCACCCCCCACCGGGCCGCCGTCATTCCGTGTGCCAGCCCTCTCCAGCGTGGCGCGCCCCGGCTTCTTCGTGTCGTACTACTTCTGGCTTGACGCCGCCGCCGTCCTGTCGCTGGGCTTTGAGCTGCCAGCGCTGCGCGCGGCGCTGTCCCTGGGTCCCAGCCAGCAGCACCTCGACCTGACAGACCACCCCGACTCGGTGCTGCGGGCGCTGGGGTCACAGGTGAGAATGTGTGGGAAGGTTTCCAGGACGAAGAGAGTTTCACGGCAGGCTGCCTTTTGCAGTTTGACCTTGGTGTTATTATGCCGTATCAGCTCCCCAACTCCTCCAAGCAGCGGTACGTCTGACAAAATCGTAGAGCCGAAGTTACATGCGTCAACCACGCAAACACCACACCCACCGCCACCCACCAGGCCCTCATCAGCTCCAAGGCCGGCCGGGCTGCCAAGAGCCTGCGCCTCTTCCGCATGCTGCAGCTTGTCAGGGTCTTCTCTGAGTTTGAGGCGCGGGAGAGGGGCCGCAGGGCGGCCTCAACCTCAAAGGGTGGTGCAGCCCAGGCGGGGGGCGGCGGCCGCAAGAATGCCAGCAATTGGGGGGGCGGCGGCAGTGGCGATGCTGCGGAGCTAGTGCTGCAGCGCTACCGCTTCACAGAGTCGCGCGTCGGGCAGAAGCTGTCAGGTGAGCGCGCTGGCGGGGGCACGCGGGCGTAGAGTCACGGCGGGAGGGGGGGCGCGTCAGACGGTCCTCAAGCTTGAGGCGGGGCGCGGCCCACCACGATTGTTTTGGACCTGGGCATCCTGCATGGCCAGCTGCCGCACCTTGGATTGAGGACCAGCGCCACTCAACCCGTTTCTTCCCTCTCACCGCGTGTCATCCACACGGTCCGGGGGGGTGTGCCCAGACCTGTCCATGAAGCGCATCATCCTGGGGGTGCTGGCCATGCTGGTCGTGCTGCCCGCCCTGGAGCTGGGCAGCGGTGTGCTGGGGGAGCCGTCCGCCATGGCGGTCGGGGGCCTGGCCATGCTGCACCACGTGGCGCTGGGGGCCGGGACGAGCACGAGTGCCTTTGCAAACGCGCTGCAGGTGAGCACTGCGTCCTGCTGGCGTGGGTTCAAGTTGCATCGAGCGCACTGGCTGGCAGGGCGGGGATTGATGGGGATACCTCCTCCAGCTGCACTTGGACTGAGCGACCTCACAGTCACACTACCCTTCTCTTGCAGCTTGCTGAGCAGTCAACCTACCCCACCATCGGCCCTCACGCAAAAGGGAGAGTCCGCACCGCCACCGCCAATCGCACTACCACGGCATCACAGCCCGCTGCATCGAGCTCAAACCTTACTGTCTCGAACCCCATCCACCCACCCATCCACCAGGCCTTCCAGGGTCACGTGATGTACCGCCTCGGGACGCGCCGCACCGGCGGGCTGCTCACCCTTGTGGTGGCCAACCAGACCTATGTGGAGGCCGCACCAACACACCCCGGGGGCCGCCTGGAGCGGCGCTACTTGGAAGTCGAGTACGCAGCTACCACCAGCGTCACCTGCCTGGCAGCTGCCGCGGGCGCCGCCAACACCACGACCGGCGTGGTGCTGCAAGTGCCTGTGCCTGCGGCGGTGAGCGCGATCGATCCGTCGGTGGTGTCGCCGGCGGGAGTGGTCGCGATGGCGGCGGCTTGGGCGGCGGGGGCGGCAGCGGTCCCAAGTTCTCAGAGCCGAGCAGAGCTGGTGGCTGAGAGGGCTGCGATAGGGCAGGCTGAGTGGGTGGCGCGGCAGTGTGAAGTGTGGGTGAGCTACGCCCTGTACGACACAAAGTGGAGCCTGCAGGTAGACGGGTGGGGTGGGGTGGGGTGGGGTGGGGTGGGGGTTGCTAGCCCTTGCCTCCCTGGCAAATACCTGCTCGATGTGTGTGAAGATTTGGCAGTGGGAGTGTGATTCACGATATTGCATGCCTTTTGCAGCTTCCCACCGCTCACTGATGTCATGCTGTGCTGGCGTGCTTGCACGCGCACATGCACGCGTGTGCACACACGTGCACACACACGCACGCACACACTAGACACCACGCATGAACACACGCACCCGCACACTCACGTGCACACAACTGTCCAAAACCCCTCCACACCAAACCCCCCACCCGTCCAGGTGTCCTCGATGCTGTCCCTGGCGCGCACCCTCTTCCTGGTGGTGCTGCTGGCGGCCGGGTCCTACTTCATTCACAGGGACACGCGCCGCCTGGTGCTGCAGCCCGTGGAGAGGATGGTGGACCGGGTGCGGGAGATGGCGGAAGATCCCCTCATGCAGGCGACACTCAGGTTCGGGCCAAAGGCGGGCGGCGCCGCGGGCGGCGGCGCAAGCGATCGCGTGGGCGCGGCAGCGGCCAGCGACGCAGTGCAGGGCACCAGGGCGGGCAAGGTGGCATCTGCTCTGGCGGCGCCAAACGGCGGGGCTAAGCTGGCGGCGCCCAGGGGGCTGGTGGCAGCTGGCGGTGGCAGCGAGGGCGGGGACGTGCCCGTGAGCGGCTTGAAGGGCCGTGTGGCGCTCGCCCTGCGCGATGCAGCACAGCGTATCACCCTCCGCTTGTCCAGCGCGCTCTCGTCGGCCTTGGCACCGGCGGCGCTCGCCGTTGCCTCCTGGTGCTCCTCGCGCGTCCAGGCCGTGCGCGACGCGGCGGCGGCGTGGTTTGGCACCGGTCGTGGTGAGGAGGGGGACCAGGGGCAGTATGAGACGCGGCTGCTCGAGAGCAGTGTCTACAAGATCTGCGCGCTCCTGGCGGTCGGGTTTGGTGATGCCGGCGCCGAGATCATAGCTGAGAACATCCGGGAGGGGGGCGACCTCAACCCCATGGTGCCCGGCAAGCGCACGGTGAGCCTGGGCAGGCCGTGTGGGAAAGGGGGGGAGCATTGGGAGGGGACTAAGGAGCAAAGAAGGGCAAACCCAGTGGGAGGTCCTGGAAATCCATGCTTCTAGAGAGTGAGGCACACATGATTGTCACGCATCTGATTGTCCGCACAGCGCATGTGGTCAAGTGCGCATATCTTTCGTACTTGCCCCATTCCACTCAACAGCCCCACTCGTCCCTGCCCCTCACACTTGATGACGTCACGGAAGCACAGGTGGCTGTCTTTGGGTTTTGCGACATCCGTCAATTCACTGACGCAACAGAGGTGCTGCAGGAGGGTGTGATGGAGTTTGTCAACTCAATATCACACATCGTGCACGCGGCCGTGGCTGCAAGGTGCGGTTGCCAGGCTTGCGCTTTGAACTGCGTCTGGCTGCGTTAAAGGAGAGGCGCCGATCACGCAAACGCCAACGGCACAGCCGTGGCATGGGACAAGTATCTACTCCCCACATTTGCACAAGGCGCCCAAAACACTTGCACGAGGCCTATAACATGATACCCCAATGCAAATCCCTCCCCCAGGGGGGGCGCAGCCAATAAGAACATTGGCGACGCCTTCCTGCTGGTCTGGAAGCTGCCCAAGGGCATTCGGGCCAGGGAGCTCGCATCGCTGTCCGCTGCCGCCGCCGCTGGCGGCGGCAGTGGCGGGGGGGACGCGGGCTCGGTGTGCGCATGGCAGAGCGGCGAGCTGGAGGGCAGCACCTGCGGCGCAAGCGGCACCCCGGCTTTTCCTAGTGCGCCAGGCGGCGGCCCCGGCGCTGGGCCTCTGGTGGGTTTCACGCACCTACTACGGGCCTAGCTTACTTTGCCTGAGGGGGGTTGACACATGCCAAGTATGCACTTGCATGCTCGCCACCTGTCGGAGTCCTCTTGCGTCACCGGAATAGAGTGGTGCCGGTCACCACCTTGCGCCTCAAACCCCCCACCCACCCCATCAGGGTACTGCCACACTGGAGTGGCCCGGCCTGGGGCTTGGTGGCGATGGTGACGCCAGCTGCGAGGTCGCCACCTCAGCAGCTCCGCCCTCCCTCGTCCCCGACCAGCCGTCCCTGGGGCCGCAGGCCTTGCGCCGCCGCCCCAGCGGCGCTGGCGCAGGCAGGGATCTGGCCGGCAGCCACGTGTCTTTCCAAGAGAGGCCATCAGCAGACAAGCGCCACCAGCAGCCGCTGGCTCAACAGCAACCACAGGCGGCCAGCGCGGCTTCATCGCCCGATGGCGGCGCCTCCCCGCTGCGCCGCTCGGGCGCAGGGCCGTCCGCCCTGGGCATCGGTTCCGGCCCCGGCTGGGCAGAGGCGCTGCAGCGGTCCCTGAGGGGCGCTGGCAGTGCGTCGGGTGCCGCCCTGGGCCCGCAGCACCCTGGGCAGCGCACGGGCGGCGCTGCAGGGGGTGTGAGCTTCACGGCGGCCCAGCGCCCGGGGTCAGACCTGGACCGGACGCTGTCGCACCTGGCGTTCCAGCGCGCGCACAGCATCGCGCACGCGCTGTCCCTGCCGCGCCCCAGCCTGCCTACCGCCGCTCCGAACGGCGGCAGCGGCATCCCGGAGGCCTCGCCTCGCGGTGCAGAGGGCAACATGGCGGCGGGTGCGCCGGCGACGGCGGCGCTGAAGCGTGCTGTGACGTGCATCAAGACTGTGCGTCACGTGGGGCTGAGCGCGGCCTCCAAGGGTGCAATCGTCCATAGCATTGCTGACGGCGCTTTGGCCAGCTTCATTATCATCCAGGTGTGCACGACCGTTATTGAAGGGGGGCCAGCATTGGTGAAGGGCTGTGGTGCAGCAGGTGGCAATTGGTGCTGTCAAGGGGCAGCTTGTGCTGATGACCGGTCTGTGAGGCGTGCGACCGTTAGAAGGGAGTGCATCTGCCTGTCGGATCCCGGCCTCGCTTCACAGGCACCATCGCCCTCATCCCGCCCTCTCCCAACCCCTGCTGACGTCATCAGGTGGCGCTTGCGCACTCCAGCCGCCTGAAGCGCTACAGCCGAGACCCGGCCCTCAACGCGCGCATCCCCGGGTTCAGAGTGCGCATGGGCTTTGGGCTGCACGTGGGCTGGGCCATCGAGGGCGCCATAGGTGGGCCTGTGTGCGTGAGCATGCGCGCAGTGATACTGAAGAGGCTGATTGAATGCGAGATGGCTCTTGCGCCGCTGCGAGTGGGGGCCCTGCAGTGGAATAAGAGAGTATCAGCAAACCAGCCAATAGCACCAAGGTGCGCAGGCAGCAATTCTATCGCGTGTGCTTGCGTTGTGTCCACAGCTTTCTCCGAATCAGATGTCATGGGGCTTGCTGCTTAATACATGAGGGCCTGAATCCACGTCCTAATGATACTGCGTCCAAACCATCACACTTTTGCCTTGTATTGCTGAACCCCCAGGCTCCGAGTACAAGGTCGACGCCTCGTACCTGTCACCCAACGTCAACATGGCCTCCAGGCTCGAGGCCGCCACCAAGCAGTACTCCACGCCGCTGCTGCTGTCGCGCGACTTTGTGGACTGCCTCTCTCCAGGAGTGCGTGCACGGGTGAGGAGAGCACCGCGCGGTTGCATCAGGCATGCTGCGGGCGACAGGGCAAGTGTATGGGTTGATCAGGGGGCAGGAGGGCTTCTGAGGGAAGAGGCGGGCACGCAGAATGTGTGCTTTTTGGTGCCATGAGGTGTTGGACTCCCTAGCTTGACAACCCTGTGGTGGCAAACGCTGTTTGGAAGCAGCAGTGGTTGCATACCCCCTGCTTCTCACCCAGGTACATGTTTTGGCAGCCGTGGACTCTGCATGCTTGTGTAACCAATTATCAGCCCCGACAGCAGCCGCCTGCTTGCGAATACATCCCTTGGTAACAAGAGTACTAGCCCGCTGACATTGCCACGACCACTGCCGCGACACCTCAGGTGCGCCAGGTGGACTGCGTCACCGTCAAGGGCAGCCGCCAGCCCGTGGGCCTCTTCACGTACGACCTGGATGCAGGGGCGGCCGCGGAGATAGCGGAGGCCATGCTCAGGGGCCACTGGCCGCCAAGCAACCGGCAGGCGGGCGGCACCGCCTGGGCTGTTGGTGCAGCTGCCACTGCCGCTGTGCAGGTGCCAGTGGCGGCGGCAGCGGCGGTGCAGGGGTCTGCCGTCGCTGTCAGTGCGCAGCTGCGGCAGCATTTACGGCGCAGCAACGACGATCACGAGGTGCAGGAGTCGGTCGGCGGTGGCGCCAGCATCCCGCCAGCAGGGTGGTGCCAAAAATCGCCTCGGCTGCCTCCGCTGCGGCAGTCGGTTGTGGCGCGAGCTGCGGCCCATCTGAGCAGCGCGACGGCCCACGATACTGGTGCTGTTGGCGCGGGTTCCGCGGTGCCCCGGGTGGCGAGCAGCAGTGCGGCCGCGCCGGCGGCCGCGGCTGTACCGCCGATGGCGTCCGCGGCGGCGCGGGCGCGCGCAAGCGTGGTGTGCATGCAGCCGCGAGCCGTTGGCGGCACATCTGCAGCCCCCAGCATCCCAACTCACAACTGCGAAGGCGAGGGCGCCGATGACAGCGGGTCTGACTCGGGGGACCAGGGCCAGGGGGACGAGGCAGACGCGCTTATTGGGGGCCGTGGTGGTGGTGGTGGCGGCAGTGTTGACGACTGGGTGGACAACCCTCTCGTGACAGACACCTGGGGCCTGGACTGGGGCTTCAAGGCGGCCTGGGACAGCGCTATTGCGGTGGGTGCTGGGTCGCATGGGGGACGCCACACACAGTGGATGGCGAATCGAGCTTGCTGGACGGCCGGGCGCCCGCGGGTGGGACTAAGATGGCATGTCCTGTGGCGATGCTTCTCATGTCTATCCCGCCGCACTTGACCTCTTGGCTTGGCCGCTCACGTGCACCGAGTGAGCGGCTTAATTGTTGTATAACATTCACCACAAGTTCCTCCTTCCACCCCCCCTTCCACCCACCCGCTCCTCTCATTGCAAACGACAGCTCTACCTGGAGGGCCGCTGGCCAGAGGCGCGCGCCGCCCTGGAGGCCCTCCGCCACGCGCGCCGCGACCGCGCGGGGCTGCCGGTCGAGGACGGCCCCGCGGGGGTGCTGCTGGGCGTCATGGCGCAGTCGGGGTACGCGGCGCCAGCAGGTTGGGCGGGCTACAGGGACCTCCTCGAGAAGTGATTGTCCAGACCGATGCTCGTGTAGGCGGGGCCTGTCATGGCGCCTCACCTTCGGCGGACAGCTGCGCGACCTTGCTGGTGCGGAGCAGCGCGCGGAGGACGCCCATGCAGCAACAGCCACGGCTGGCGGCACGCAACTGCGTATACTTCGAGAGCAGAGCCGTGTGTGCTGGGGCCACCCCAGGGTAGAGTGACGAGCAAGGCTGATGCTCGCCCACCCATGGACCAGGGGACGATCCGCTGGGTGCGAGGATAGTTGAGAATAGTGCGTGGGGGGAAGGGGTCACAAGGCAACCCATGTGCAGCCCAATTGCAGAGCATGTGTTAGTGGTTTTGGTTCGTCTCTGCGCTTGAGTGATAAACGTGATGACTTATTCCTCGTTTTGATGCACTGCATCAATGCAAGAAGTGCGCCTTTGCAGCATTGTGATGTCACCCTCGCTGTCATAACCCACTACAAGGTCACGATGCCTGCTGCGTTTGGCTCTGGTTTCCACTGTCATCACAGATATGGCCTCGGCCTTGGACCTGCACAACATCTGCAGTCTATTTGACGATTGATTCCACATGCATTGCCAGGGGCTCAAGTAGCACCTCTCATCAAAACCCTGGAAAGCCACCAGTCAGGAGCCGCCGTTGCTGTAATGGAGGCACGTCAATGTATTGGATGTGCACGCTGGATCCATTTGGCGGCGATCACACTCACTTTCAGCCAAGTGATGTCGGGGTCAACGCAATGCGTGAGGGTTGTCCTGCCTGCCAGGCTAGTGACGAGTGCAAACACTCCAACAGACCGCTGCTCAAAACCTCTCTGTCCTCACCGATAAGCGGGCGCGGGGGAAATTGATTTGTGTGGTTTGATGGAGGATGCACGCTTTGTCACACCTCTCCCAGACCTGGACATTCCCTGAAGCTGCCTTGAAAGATGCGAGCTTGCCTGACACCACGCGTTGCTGGTTGCGCCATACGGGGCCGGGCTTTGCTGCTTGCCTGGCGCAGCAGTATGCGGCAGTTGCTTGCAGCTAGCTGGGCGAGGACGGTGCGAATACACCTAAGCCTGCCGTCTGCCGGTGCGCAGCAGCAGAGCAGCGGGTAGTGCATGCAGGGTGCCGTGGGAGCAATGGAAACACAGTGCTTCGGGCGTCGTAAGCAATGGAAATGTTACACAGCACAACAAATGGCTTGCCCGTAGCATGTTCAAGACTGAGCATCGTAAGCAATAGAATGGGGAGTCCTGGCGCGACACTCTGCAATGAACAGACCACAGTCGTGGCAGCGCCAAGGGCGCACTTTCCAACTTGGCCTGCGTGGGTCGACTTGCAATCACTGCAGCGTGCCAGCAGGTGTGACCTGCACCTGCACAGATACCAAAGCTAATGAAGGGTTGTGAATATGCACAAGCAGGTGGGGAGCTGCTGATGCTGTTTTCAGGTGATTGGCCACTTTCAGGGCAAGCCAGTGTTGAGGGTGAGCGTCGGCCGAAACTGTCTAGTGTTGGCAGCGGCACGCAGAATTGGCTGCTGGTGGTATGTGCATGGGCAGTGCAGCAACCGCATTGAAGGAAGGGCTAGTAGGTTCACGATGCGGTGTGCGGAGCGGCATGCGCGGGGCGCGCAGCCATGCGTCATGCACCCGGGCATGAGTGCTCAGGCAGCACACAGCACGCAGTGCGCAGAGTGGTGAATGGCAATCCAATTCATACGGTGTTGTGTGAATGGACAAGCCAGTGCCCAGTCCCATTGAAACAGTGCCGCGTGCAAGGTGTGGCATCGACTGCATCCCAGACGCGCGTCGCGAACCCAAAGGGCGCGCGCTGTTGCCCAATAACAATCACAGCGAGTGTCCTCGCTGATGTGGGTCGCGCTTTGGTCCCAGTCAGCACAAGATGTGAGGGCCTGACATCGTCAACAGGGGCTTGGTGTGGGCCGGCGAATGCCATCACAGCCGCGGGCCCCAAAGTGACGCACATGTGCAGCATCGACTTCGGTGCAACGTCGCGCACAACCTCCCCAAGACCCCAGCAGCAAACACCAACCGGCGACGATCCCGTTCTGACGAACGCACATAAGCGTAAACACAAAGCCACAAGGCAACGCACGCCACCAGGGTCGCAGGGAGCATGGGCCGCACGGGCGCGAGCCAGTTCTGCAGGTTGCGGTACCAAACTACGGCCAGCAACCCACGGATGTGCTACAAAGTGAGGAGCAGACCTGGCACACGAGCGCCCCCATCGCCTGTCACAACGCACAGCTGGGACCGGCAGCCCACACCGATGGCTTTCTGGATCATCATAAGAGCAGACCCTGGAAGGGGTGCTGCGGATGCGCCGCTCCACCTGCAGCTCTGACTGCGAGGCTCCAGCCACGCACGACCCCTAAGGGAAATTGCCACTCACGTGCAGGTGGCTGTTGCCACCTTGGCCCACCCGTGGCGAGGCAGGTCAGCGCCCCTCGGCTTGAAACGTTGCCCTCAAGCAGGGCTGGCCAGACGGTGTTTGCAGCGCAGCGGGGCTGAATAACGAAGGAGTACAAAGGAGCAAGGCTTGGTTGTGTGTGCCACTCGTGCCCCCAGAAGGGTGGCAACGTGGAAATCAAGGCTGCGGGCGTGCAGGAAGCAACACCACTAGCCCCGCCCATGCCTTCATGCCCGCAGCCTGCAGCAGCTGCAAGTGCAGGCCGGGCCCCTCCAAGGCATCCAAGGCCTGACCAGCGCTGCCCCCGTCACTGGGTCGGCATCAGCGCGCCCAGGGCAGCGTATATGCGTCGCAGTCACGCATTCTGTGCATTTTGCACCATCCGTGCCTTGATCACGAAGTGTCCGGAATGTGGGCGCTGCAGCAGCGAGAGTGGTGCTCTGGCCTGCCAGCAAGCAAACGCGGCATCAGTGCTGCGAGTCGCGCCGAGACACGTTGGTTGGCGGGGCTGGCATCACGCCAAACGCGTCCCCATTTGCCTCGCGCGCAGCCACGCGCGTTCCCCACCCGCCGCCGACGCGGCGGCCGCCAGCGGCGGCGCCCGAGCCGCCCCCGCGCCCCTGACCGCCGCCGTAAGCCGCCCGGCCGTTGGCGGCACGGCCGGTGCCGCCGGCGCCGTTCAACGATTCCTTGGTGTAGCCGTCGCGCCAGTTCTTGGTTTGGCGCATGACGAACAGGGTTGCTGCGCCCAGCACGGCCAGCCCCGCCAGGACGCCTATCACCAGGCCTGGGTGACAGGTGAGTTGGCGCATGAGCTCGCATGAGAAAAGGAACTGCATTGAGGTTGATCAGGAGCGGACTGGGAGCAGTCCACTACTGCTCCCAGTGAGGACTGGGAGCAGTCATCGGAGTGTTGTGGGGCGATAACGATGACGTCAGCAACAAAGCCAAGGGCACTGTAAGTAGTTCCTGATGAGCCGCGGTCAGTGCGTCTGTGCGGCTGCCACCCTCACCAGCGATGGCCCCTGGCCGCATGCCGCCGCCCTTGGCGCTGCGGGCGCTCCCCTCGGTCCACTCTGTGCCCGACGGGTCTGCTCGGCGCTCCTTGGAGCCAGGTGAAGCACCGTCGAGCGCCTGCAGCAGCGGGATGGAGCTGCCATTGCCTGCTGTGCACTCGAAGCTGCGCAAAAGGAGAGCGCACAAGAGGGGAGAGGTACAGCTGGTGAGCGGGGGCCTGGGAGGAGCCATTCGCCGGCAGCATCGGGCTGATTGCACCTGAGCGATTAGCAAGCAGGCATGATGACTGGCAAGCACAAGGGTAAACCCGGGCTGTTTGCCGCCTACTGAACCCTGCACAAACGTATGATGCAGTGTGGTGAACCAGTTGCCTTGTCCTGTCAAAGCTTGGCCCCTCTCAGACGCATCCAACCCGGGTGTGCTATGCGTGCCAAGACATATACTGTTCATACCCATCGTCGGAGTCCCTCTCCCACAGGCACAGCAAAAGGCCACCTCCGTATTGCACGCCCTCCCCTCCACCGTTGAGTCAATCACCCCTTGCCCCTGCCACCATGGGCAGCCAGAAATGCTTTGATTGCGTCCATGCAGGCCTTACACAAAAGCCTCACTTGTACTTCATGAGCAGCTTGACCTCCTCCTCCAGCAGCTGCGTGTAAGGCAGCGCCTCCTCCTTGGTGGGGCACGCCAGGACCTCGTTGGGGCCGTTGACTGGGGGCGAGGGGCGCGCATAGCGGGAAGGGGGACGGGCGTCAGCTGGGTGCAGCGGCCCGCTGGCTGACATGCTCGTGAGATCACCATCGGATGACGCTCGAGCTGTCTGCGGACACCCGTCAGCCTGAAACACATCCGTCACATCCTGAGCCCGCCACAACTAACGCGATCAAGCAAGACAACCCAGAGTACCCGCCCCAAATCGCCCCTCCCCAGAGCAACCGCCCACCCTTGACGGTGATGTCGCAGCCGTTGCAGTCGGCCGTCTCCCGGGGCAGCGCCTCCAGCAGCCACAGGGGGAACGTGCCGCCGCTGAAGCTGTTGTTGCTGATGTCCAGGACGCGCTTCACGGGAAGCCTGCGCACGACAACAGGCGAGGAGGTGTCGATGGCTGCCAAAAATACATGATGAGGAAGTGCTGCTCGTGCCAACACCTGCACAGCCGCAGATCTTGCCCTGGTCATGCGAGTGCAGTCGCAGCAGCAGCGTGGCTGCTAGTGACGTCTGGCACTGGTCATCGATCAGGGCATTCCCGTGGTGCGGCGTAATTTTTCGTCCCACCCAGCCCGGCGCCACTCACGCGCCCAGCATGGCGATGGACACGAGGTCCAGTATGTTGTTGTCCCCCAGCTCCTGCGGCAGCGGCCCCGTCAGCAGGTTGCTGGACAGGTTGAGGTATGCCAGGCGCTGGCTGCCGTCAGCCAGCTCAGCGGCAAAGGGCTTGATGTCCCCCGTGAGCTGATTGTTGGAGAGGTCCACGTGGATGAGGGACGGCTGGGCGCCCAGGGACGGCGGGAGGGGGCCTGCAGGGAGAGGAGTG